GCAAGGGTGTTGACTCCTGTTTACAGGGCTGAGCGTTTTGGATTGATTGGCTCGTGATCTTGAGTGTGCTTCAAACTAGACCTGCCTCAAAGCAGGGAGAAGCCTTGTTTCCCATGGTAGATGATCAGCCTAAGTCTGTAATACCCCAGGAAGATCTGCATTACTTTTATGCACCCCTGTTGGAAGGGTGAGAACTCCTAAACACGCACAGCAAGAATGTCTGTGGCCAGTGGCCTATTGGCACGAAAGGGGCAGGACGCAGTGGGTTTCAAGTGTGCAGGCCTCAGGCAGCCTTTCACCTTTATGTACTCTGAGGTGGCCTGAGTCGTATCAGTGGCTCATGCGGTAGAGTTGGATTGAGAAGGGGAGCAGGTCCAGTGGCTCTCATGGGAAAGACCAAATACTTGGATGGAGTTGGCAAACTCCTTTGCCCAGGGCAGTATTGACACCCTCCGTAGATGAGTTAATCTGTTACAGATCGTTGTGATTATTCTTCTGTCTTACTGCTGTCTTTCTGTTCTTGGAAGCTGCTGTCATGGGATGTAGGGAAAATAAACCCCCAGAAGCTGCCGAGTTTGAAGGGGACCATGAGCCTCCAAGCAGGGGCCTCCAAGCCTGACGAAAATCCCACTATCAACCTGCAGTTTAAAATTCAGCAGCTGGCTATCTCTGGTAGGTGCTGCCAGTGAAGGAGCACAGACTGTCCTGTGCTGGGCAAGCTTGTGTCTGACACCCAGCCTGATGCTTCTACAGGCATTGGGGCCATCTTAGTGCCACGGCTGAGTTCCTCCATTTAAATGTTGTCTCTGCTTGGGCTTCATGTTGGTGAATCTAGTTACACACCTCTCTGCTGGCTGCTGCCTAGTACCGCCTGCCTGCACCCCACCTCAGCTCTGCTGCTTCTACAGCTCTGTCACACAGTAACCCAGGTGGGGTGGGAAGGCAGGAGCCCTGCCCCACTCCCAGAATCTCACTGTCTCCTTCTTTGTTTTAGGGCTGAAGGTGAATCGCCTGGATATGTATGGGGAGAAGTACAAACCCTTCAAGGGCATAAAATATATGACGAAGGCTGGCAAGTTCCAAGTCCGGACATAGAGGCGTCTGAGAGCGAGGGAAGAACCACAAGCATTCTTTTTTTTTTTTTTTTCCTTTCCACTCCTTCCCCTATGTCCACAGCTGTTGGCTTCTTCCTTTACCCACTGTCACCCCTGCTGGGCCCACGTCTTAGGCTTGGGTTCCCCTGGAACGCTAGTGCTGATGTGGTCAGGGAGGGGGCCATATAAAGGGGAAAGGGGCCAATTGGGTAGCATCTGTTGTAGCAGAGTCCTGAATTCTCAGATGGGGCAGAGGAGAAATGAAATGTCAGGTCCATGGGGTTGGCACTTCAGATAAGTAGGCTCCACTCCTGGCACCTCGCTCTGCTTCCCAGTGGAACCACTGGTGCCAACTCCCACCCCACCCCACACGCACCACACAGTCCTTGCTCAGCTGGCTGATGTCTTTCCACGGGTGGCACAAGACTTGGTTTGAAAGAGCTGGGTTCCCAGTTCAGTGGTTTGACATTCCGTCCTGTCCCTGACCAGGCATTCCTGTTCAGTACTGGATCGAGTGCCAAGCTTAGGGGAGGAGTGGTGGGTCAGGGATGTTCTCTCGGGAGGAGCAAAGGCAGCTGGAGAGAGGAGGTGCAAGGGGAGGATACAAAGGCCTTGGGGAGGTGGCTGGAATAACAGTGCTTGGCATGTGCAGCTCTTCTGAGCACCTGAGGATGGATGGGAAACCTGAAGCCTCAGAATCGTGCCCTTACAAGAGGTCATTGGAGCAGGGGTCACCCCAAGGCCTGGTAGACTGATGTTTCTGAATGTGCATGTTGCTTCTTCTCTCCGTTTAGTATTTGGGAGAGGGAATTGCTCCTGGTTCCCTGCTGGCAGGTGGGGGTACAGTTGTGTACATAACCTTTATTTAAGCATCTGTATAAAGTGCTGTCTGACAGGAATCCTCACTGCAGCAAGCAGAGGCTGAGCAATGCCTTAGCAGTAATTGGGGCAGTGACTTCTGTGTCTGACTGCTTGTCTGTTGATGGTGATGAGGCTCTGCTGTCCTGCTGCTTACTGAGGTGGATGTAGGTAGTCCTGTGCTTCTGGCTGTCTAACCTCATCCCACTCTGTCTTGCTCTACTGCGGGTGGACTCTAGCCCATGTGGTGTGGTGTATTTGCCTCTGGGGCCACCTGTCCTGCGAGATGCTGTGTTGTGCTAGGCTGTACCAGCCGGTGATGCCTCCCACTGCAGAGCAAAGCACCTGTGAGATGTGAGCAGTGCACGCGTTGCTCTGCCTTATCTGCAGTGCACTCTGGGCGATGAGATGCTGCCTGTGGCATTTGCTGTGGCAGCAGGATTTACCTGGTGAGCTGCTGCGCATGTGGCTCTGGTCCCTGTGAAGCTGCTGTGGCTCTGGGCTCCAGTGCACGTATGAGCTGGAGGGGGTGACGGGCTGTAGGGTAGCAAGTGTCTTGCTCTGCTGTGTGTGTGGTGCCTCATTTTGGAATGACATATTCCTATGCAACTAATGTGAACTGTGCTGCGAGGTGGCCTCAAAACTGAGCATGCTCACTACAAATGTACGGGTTCGATATGAGCATCAATAAAGTTGTTTTACCTGTAAGCTGCATTTGGAGTGCTCTGTTTGGGGTTTTAAGGGCTGTGGTGTCTGTGCGTGGCAGAGTCTGCATCCCACCACACTGAGTCTTGACTGGCAGGTGATCCAGTGAAAATTGCTCAGTGACAGTGCTCTGAAGTCATAAATAATTGAGGTGCTGGGTTGGCTGGAAAGAGGCAGCCAGCTGGGAGCTGTCTGGAGATAGTAACTGAGGCTCCCTTAGGGCTCTTCAACAAGTTTCCGCTTTGTCTCTGCAGTTGGACCTTTGCAGTCCAGATGATCCTCAGAGGAGTAATGTGCAGACTATAGAGTTGGAAATGCTTGTAATGACAGAGCTGTCTGTGACATGCCAGTTTGCACTCTCTGATTTGATCACGAAGCTTTTTTCTGGAGTATTTTGCACAAAAAATTCAGATCTGTGGCAAGTGCAGTTCTGTTGTATTTCTTCCTCTGCCCAGGAGATGGTGCCCTCAGATAATAGAGAATCTTTGGGATTTTTCATGAGACAGGTGATTGTGCCAGCTGCGGCTGCATACGCATGTCTGTGTCTTTCATCTGGGTCGTCTGGCTGCTGACCTGTGAATGCCAAGAGAGGGCAGGCCAAGCCACCCTCGGAGATAGTTTTGGTGAACGCGGACTGGCACTCTCTCTCCTCTAGAACTAATACCTGGAAAAAACAATGAAATCACTCTGAAGGAAGCTAACCTTGTTTGCTGCT